TTCCTTGCTCATAACAACAAAACACCCATCTAAAATAACAAAACTATCTACAAAAGCTAAAATCAAACGAAAAATAACAGGGGATAAAAAACGAAATGGAATCAGAAAAAATTACAGCTTTTTGGCCTGCTCAAGGGATCGGGCATGGCCAAAGTGGAAGAGATCGTAGATCCCATCAGCGTAGACTCGGACTGGCTTGTCCTCTTCGGTGATCTCTTTGCTCTCAGGCTTTGGATCCTTCTCCATTAAAGAGATTTTGAGAAAAAGTTTAGATTTTTATTCCCTATTTGGGTTAAGGGATTGCGAGAGCTTGAAGACGAAAGAGGGCCACAGCCTACAGGGTTTTATTATTAAACTGGAAATTTGCTGTTTGTATTTTTCTTTTACTTTACACGTGGATATTGTTAGGCGATGACACGTCAGAAGTCATGATGTGGGAGTCAAAGATGGGTGCGGGTGAAAAAAACCATGGATTCATTTTCTTTGCGTTTTGCCACATTATTATTATCGTGATGATGATGGAGTAGGGATGGTATATGAAATGGAGCTAAATAAATGAAATGGTTTCACCAAACTCAAAAAAATTCAAACTGTTTGGTTGTTTGTTTGTTAGAAATTTGCAGTAAAAGAAACGAAGGAAAATTGTTTTATATTCCTTTAATCTCAGTTACAATTGGATTTCCTGATTACAAAAGAGAAGAGAATGATCTGGATTCTCCCCTTTGTTTAATTCTGGGGTCTTCACAGTAGCGATGAGATGCCTCCCTCGAATGCTCGCGTCGAGTTTGCTTCTCGTTGACGATCCGATGTCTTGTTTCACTGGAACGTAGTCTTCTCCTCACGATTTGACGTTTTGGAGAACTCTGAACGAGTTTAAACTCTATGAAAAAGTTGATTTAACCGAAAGTCGGTTATAAGCCAAGGATGAAGAAGATCTTGTTGCCGATCTCTAAAGCTCCAAAAATGCTCTAAGGATCCTGTTGACGAGCCAAGAAGTTCCAACCGACCGCACCCCAAACTGAATTGATTTTTAGTTATTTATAGGGGATTAAGGGGTGTAACCACCTCCTTAATTCGCTCTTAAGTGGGGCTAATGGGATGTAACCGCCCCTTAAATCACTCCTGAGTGGAGTTGTGATCCCCTCAGATCGTGGAAAACGGTTTTGAAACCGTTCAGCTCGTGTTTGAACGAGTCAAACGCAAAATCCGCGTTCCGGTGTAAATTCTGCGTTCAAACGCAGTGTCTGGAAGCTTGAACGCAGTGTCTGAAAGCTCAGACGCAGCGGCTGGAAGCTGCGTTGGCATCTTGTTGGAAGCTGCGTTTGGCGGCGATTAGAGCTGCGTTTGGCAGCGATTTGAGCTGCGTTTGGCAGCGATTTGAGCTGCGTTGGGCAGCGGTTGGGAGCTGCCTTGGACAGCGATTAGAGCTGCGTTTGGCAGCGATTTGAACTGCGTTGGACAGCGATTGGGAGCTGCGTTTGGCAGTGATTTGAGCTGCGTTGGGCAGCGTTCGTGGCTATGAACATGGTGCGTCTTGATGCTGGTTCGCGGGGAGGACTTCCACGTCTTGGTTTGAAGAGACCGTCGATTTGTAGTCTCTTTCTGTCAGAACGTTGCAAAGATCGTCGTTTTGTAATCTTTGCTTTAGCTCTTTGATATGTGAGAGTCGTCAGATTGTAACTCTCGATGTTGATTGTGAAGGCTGTTGATTAGAGCTTTCATCAGTTGTTGCGAAGGCCGTCAGATTGTAACATTCATCGATCCACGTGAAAGTCTTCAAATTGTAGCATTCTGGAAGTCGTCAGATTGTAACTTCCATCATCGGTGTTTAATGGGAATCAGCTATCTATTGTGATTTTTAGACAGCCTACATTATTGTTGGTAAAGTTGTGTATTTATGACACAACTTGGAAAGTTGTTGTCCACCTCATCAATTTTACTTTTATATTTTTCTTTGTTTGTTTTTTATTCCATTGGAATCATAAATTGTTTGTTTGGTTTGTAAATGTAACTTTAAGGGGCTGTTTGGTTGTTGTGGTAAAGTTTTGTATTTATGACACAACTAGGAAAGTTGTTGTCCACCTCATCAATTTCACTTTTATACATTTGTTTGTTTGTTTTTGATTCCATTAGAATCATAAATTACTTGTTTGGTTTGCAAATGTAACTTTAATTGTTTGTTTGGAAAGTGTAAAAAGTGGTCCCTACTCAAATGATCATATTGGTTGGAATTATTTTTTATTATTTTTTCCTGACTTCAATGTCAGCTTTCTCCTAAAATCATGTCTTTTTTTATGAAATCACTTTACAAGCCACATCAGCATATGAAATCACTTTACACTATTTTCACAACTACAAACAAACAATTGAAAGTGATGAAAGCTGACATTGGGACCCACTTTTTTACACTTTCCATCCTTTTACATGGTAAAAACATACAACCAAACAGCCCCTAATTGTTTGGTTGGAAAGTGTAAAAAGTGGTCCCTACTCAAATGATCATATTGGTTGGAATTATTTTTTATTATTTTTTCCTGACTTCAATGTCAGCTTTCTCCTAAAATCATGTCTTTTTTTATGAAATCACTTTACAAGCCACATCAGCATATGAAATCACTTTACACTATTTTCACAACTACAAATAAACAATTGAAAGTGATAAAAGCTGGCATTGGGACCCACTTTTTTACACTTTCCATCCTTTTACATTGTAAAAACATACAACCAAACAGCCCCTAAAAGGAAAACACGTCCAATGCGGATAAAGGCTTTACCAAACAAAAAAAAAATTCAAACTTAATGATTTTTTTAAGCTCGCTTTAAAAAAGAATTCCATAGATACTAAAATTTCAAAATTTGACGATTTGCATTACCATTACTATACACTTTTAGGAGCTAACTAGTTCTTGTGCGCATGCAAAGCACGTGGTAAAAATATCAAAATAAATTTTTTATTATTTTCTTACTATAAACAAAATCAGATTCATTTTGAATTAAAATCTATAAACATGGATTATTACATTTACCATGAAATTTATTTCAACATTTTTATTTTTTTTATGAAATAGATGATTAATTTTGAAATCTCTTGTCACCGTGAATAAACAACTAACAAGTTTGCAGTGTAAGTTAGGAGAACGTAGTACATTCTTAAGAATTATTAATCTTTACTTAGTTTGATTATAATGATATGATCTCATTATTAACTAACTACAAAGTCTAATATATAATTTTTTTTTGGGCCCATGTGAGACCTCATTGCAATGAACGTTATACAAATTAAGTATAAAAGGAAAAAACGGGGTGTCCAATGGTGTAGTTGGTGAGGGGAAACTCCACCAACTTAATTTGAGATGTGAGTATATTATAGATGAAGATGGAGAATTGTGGTTTTAAAAATTATGGGTACGTGTGGGTAACTATTTTTTTTTTTGTGGTTTTCTTCGTTCATTTTTAAGATATTTGTGGTCCTGTGGATATATATACCTATAACATTGCTACTATCTTTTGATTTTGTGGAAGAGTTTGAGTGTTAAAAATATTTAAATTATCTAATTCAGTTAAAGTAGGATCATATAAGTTAAGCACATACATAAATTTTATTTTAATCAACACCTATGTGTAAATATTATAAGTGTCATTAAAATCTAAAATATTTGTGAGATTCTCTTTGATTTTTATACAAATAGTATCTATTTAAATAATAATAGTATAATTAAACTTTGTGATCCGAAGAAAAGTTCAAATATATAATATAAGTAATTACTTTAAAATAATATAATATAATCTAATAAGAAGAAAATAGATGAAAATGATATGAAAATTATTACAATTTTATAATTTTTAATTTTTAAACAATCTAATCTAATATAACAAGAAGAAAATGATAAATGCACATGCCTGTTGAAAGAGATGAAAGTATTATAAAAATTATTATAATTTTTAATCTGAAAAAAGATCAAACATACAATATAATTATTTACTTTAAAATAATCTAATCTAATTTAATAAGAAGAAAATAGATGAAAGTATTTGGAAAATTATTGATATTTCTTGATATGAAAAAAGATCAAATATACAATATAATTAATTGCTTGAAAATAATCTATTCTAATCTAATAAGAAGTAAATAACAAAGGCATATATCTGTAGGAGGAGATGAAAATGCTATGAAAATTATTGTAATTTTTTGGCTTATATACATTGGTATGTGATGTTGCATGTGAGATGATAACAATTGTAAATAGAGTTCTATTTAAACAATAAGAGTATATTTAAACTTTAAAACTAATTATGTAGGACCGTGAACTACTTGAATTTTAGTTGTTGAGAAATCACCACGTTGTGTCCTCATATCGTAGCCGTTTGTTTTAAATTTTTTTTTTATAATTTTGAGAATGATTTGGTCTTTTTGATTTGTTTGGTGAATTTTGTAAATACCGCATCCACATTATGTATATTTGTAGGTTTGTGTTGTTCCTGGGTTTGACCTCTGGGGCAGACATTATTTGCCTCACAAATTTGTTTAGTTTTTGTATATATGTCCTTCATCTTGTATACATTTGTAAATTTGTCATTTAATAATTTCATTCAAGTTTACATTTCAATTTAAACTATATTATTATCTTCATACTATGTATATCATACTCCCTTTAAAAGCACAAGTTCGGAAAATCTTTTTTAGACAAATATACCCCTTTATAGTTTGAACTACCTTATCTATAATCAAATTCTAATTTTCAATGGTCAATATTACCCTTCACTACTTTGAATATTTTATTTATATCTTAATCTATCCTAATCATAATCATATCTTATCATAATCCTATGTGAACCATGTTTAGCTTAACAATTTAAAAAAACTAAAATATTAATAAAATATATAAAACATAAAAATGATATTAGTTTGTTAAGATAAAGAAATTACAAGTAGATAACATATTATAATACATGAAGTATTGTAAAAAAAACCATAAAAAGTTTTAAAATTACAGAAAAGACCATGAAAAGTTCAAAATTATAAAACTCATCCAAATGTCTCAAAACTTAAAATAAAAAACATGAAATTAAAAAATTAACATCAGTTTGCAAAGAATTTAAAAATTACAGTTAACACCTCAATGTCTCAAAAATTATAGAAACACCCTCAAAAATTTAAATTACAAACAAGCATATTAAAATTCTAAAATTTTAAAACTTATAAACAACACAGATGAATTCAAGAGATTATCATGATATACCTAAATTTTTTAACATTTAAAATTTTTAATTAACACCCTCAATATCTCAAAAATTATAAAAACACCTTCAAAAGTTCAAATTATAAAA